ACAGATAGCAGCGAGCTCAGCTCTTTAACAACAGCCCCTCTCGTATTGACCCATGGCCCACGCACCCAATAAACACCGTCCGCCCTACCGCGCTCGTACATCTCCACATGGACTGACGCTGTCCGCAAGCCCTAGGCCCGCGCTACGAGACCGCCAGCGCTGAGGCGCATGTCAAATACGGCCGCTCGTGCCTGAACGCACGGATGCGACGTCTCCCCAAAGCGTGCAGGTTCGGAAATTTACCAATGGCAAGTTTCGGCCAGACTGATCGGGAAGGCCGGCATCCTTCACACGAGGTTTAAGGTGCTGATTACATCGTGAATGCGGGTTCGCTTGTTGATCGTTATGTCGCGGAAGATCTACTGGATCGTCGCCGAACGACAGCGTCATGGAAACCCAATGCTTGTTAGACGTTGGGCGCGACAGGAGGTTATTTCTCATGCGAACCAGGCGCGGGTTGAGAAGATTTGCGAACTGACGAGCCCTGGAAGGGATCAGCCCTAAGGATTCAAGCATTTCGCTAAATGCTGACTAGCTGGGCCGGACTCGACGCGACCCCTGACTCTCCTCTCCTTGCCGTGGTACAAAGCTTTGAGGCGTGAGCTTAGCAGGCAGGCGAGTCCCAGCTGGAATGTTGGATAGTCCGTACGAATGGCCCAGCCCGTGCAGCCCGTTGGCATTTTGTGACGTTGTTGGACGCCTGAATGGGACGTTGGCCGAGGGTCGCTGGTAGCGAGCTCCAAATATAGCTATCGATAGGAGGCTGCATCGAGATGGAGTTCGAGAAGCTCGGCATGAAGAAAAAGCAGAGTTGCTGGGCTCAGGTGAGCAATGCGATGCTTGGAAGTCTCCTAAGATGGGCTTGAAAGTGCGCGCGTCATTGAATACGCGCGGCAGGAGCGCACGAGATGCAGTGTCACGACAAAAGTGGGATGATGGATTGAAGGCGTGGTACTGTAATGTTGTGTAAGGTGCATCGTAGCCGAGGCACAGAGCCGCATCTCTTAGATGCGGTAAGCACCACATAGAGAATGTATACAGGCAGAGGTCTGCAAGTTTCTCCAGCAATAAAACCTACTTGCACACCGCATCCGTAACACCAAATTCTCCACGCCGTGCAATACCAAACGAAATGAATCTCACCTTCTTACACGCGGCCTTATGCTTTTAAAGTTCTTAAACAGCGGTACATTCCAGCGCACATCCCCTTCCAAAAACTCAACCCAGCATCTCCATCTTGGCCCCTCATGCCATGCCTCAACCCCTCTCCCTTTTTACTCAAAAATCAGCAAAAAAGAAGGTATTTTCCGACACCGGGAATCTGATTAATTGTTAGAAGCGTGCTTCGAAGTCATGTTGCTGCGGTGCGAACTTACCGAACCCGGGCCTTGCCGGCACTGTACAGTGAACTGACTCTGCGAGATGAGAGCGGCAAATCCTAGCCACTAGACCATATCGGAAATTGATGAAGAGCTGGACAGTTAGAATAGATAGATAGTTGGTGGTTGTGGTGGTTGGCGATGCAGTGGTGATGGGTGGGGCGACTGGGAAGAATTTTTGCAAACTTCACCGACGAACATGAAGCTAGCGGACAAGCAGGTGGATATGACAGTTACGAAGACACAGAGGCGGGGTAGATGTGTTTGTTATTTGGTATTGGCTAAGGGGTTGCGCTGAGGTGGTGACGAAATGGCCCATCAGAGTACATGACTACAACTGAGTTCACTAACCCCTTCCAGAGACGCCCCTACACGGAAAGACTATGTGCACAAGCTTTAATTCATGAACTTATCACGTCGAAATCATCTTATCATATGTCTCCCATAATTATATGTAGCTTAATTCCCATGCCACTCCGTCTCATCATGCGGCTTTAGTACAGCATCACGTTTGTACCACGCAAACCAAGCAATGGCTAGTGTAACTATAAGCATCAGGGCTGTCGTCGCTTCAATCGACACGATCGGGGTCGAGTGAGAGAGTCAGAGCTCAGACTTATCGCCTAGAGCAGGTATTTGCTGGTTGAGGTAGGACTCGAGGTGATCGATCTCATCTGGGTCGGCGGAATGCACCAGGTTCCTGCGCACTGTCAGTGATACGTTCGTACTTCCATACAGCTGACGTACTTGTAAGTCCTAAAATCGACCTTGAACCCGTGCTTCTCGAGCTCTTCCGCGCTCAGCTTGCCCCACTTGTGCGCAACCACTTGGTCAGCGTCGCCGTGGCCCATGAAGATGGGGGTCTTCTGGTTGGGGTTCTCGGTCGGAATCATGTCCTTGATCTTCTTCTGCAGCAGGAGGTAGCAGCTCAGACCGAAGATGCCTCCAAGCTGCTCCTTGTATGTCACACCGGACAGCAGCGACATGGCGCCTCCTTGCGAGAAGCCTCCGACGACCACGCGGTTGGCGGGTATGCCCTTTGCGACCTCTTGGTCGATAAGGGAGTGGAAGTATTTCTGGGACTCGACGATGCCCTTTTCGTCTTCGTCGCGGTCGTCGAGCGTGCTGAGCGACTTGATGTCGTACCATCCTGGCATGCTCATGCCCATGTTCTGTGTCGCGTATCAGCGATATGCCGTGTGCTTGCGTCCGAGTTGGTCAACGAACCAGCGTGATCGGGATGTTGGGTGCATTGGGGAAGATGAAGGAGACCTCCTCGAACTTGCTGCGCCGGCGCCAGTTCTCCGCGAGGAATATCCTACGCTGGTTAGATGTACACGTTCATAATGTTGAGTCTCCTTACCAGCCAGCCCCGCTGTCACCCAGTCCATGCGCCACGATGACAGTGGCGGTGTGTCGCTTAAGCGCAGGAACAACCAACGGCGCCTTGTGAGCCATGATGAGCTTAGTCTGAACGCGTTCGAGAGGTATCGTTAGTATCGATAGACGTGGGGTAGCTCTGATCAGAGGTGACGGACTCCCGACATAGTGGACCTCGGCGCGTCCTCGATGCGCGCTAAGGCAGGGACAAGGGCCAAAGCTCCAATCATCGTCATCGACGTCATGATACCTGCCTTCACCATTCACGCGTAGTTTCCCCTTTCCGGTCACTCACCCTTCACTTTTCGAGGTTTGCCGCTCACGAGATACCTCAAGTGATCCTTTTCTATCACCCATCTCCAATTCGCTTGCCCAGCACGTCCCCTCACCATTGCATTCAGACTTCCTTATAAGCGACTGCTGGCATTGCGCCCAAGCCCATTGACGATCTCATCGAATCGACTTGCCATCTCCACTATACCAAGCATGGCACGAGCAACCAGGAGCTCCGCCAGGGCCGATGCCGTGCAAGCGCCAGCCATTGGCCAAGAACCAGTACAACTCTCGAGTCCACCGACTACCCCAGAGGCGCGCAATGGACGAAAGAGGAAAGCAGTCAAGGTCGAAGAGTCGCCAGACGCGACTTCCAAGAAAGCACCCGTCACACCAAAGAGCACGAAGCGTGCCAAGAAGTCGGCGGTAAAGCAGGAAGATATCAACGAACTCCCACACAACCTTGGTGCTATCCCCAGTCTTCCCATCAAGAACGAGGAGGAAGAGAGCAAACCTTCAGCCAAGAAGCCTAGGAAGTCTACAAAGACGGCCAAGCCGAAGAAAGAGGAAGTCGACGACCTCGTTGCCAAAGCGACTACCACCACCGACGCATCGCCGAAGAAGAAGAGCAAGGCCAAGACAGGTGGCTATGGCCTTACTCCAGGCCAGACACCGTACCCAAACTACCCTCATCCCACAGCCGAAGAATGCGAAGAAGTGACACGTCTCCTTTCGAAAGTACACGGCAAGGTCGAAGCACCCAAGACAATCCCTGCGCCTTCTCTTGAAGTCTCCGGTTGTGGAGAAGTACCTTCCGTCCTCGATGCCCTCATTCGAACACGTCTTTCGGCAGCGACGTCCGGCACCAATTCATCTCGCGCATTCGCCGGTCTTGTCGCCAAGTTTGGTATTCTGAAAGAAGGCGTCGGCAAAGGCAGTGTAGACTGGAACAAAGTACGACAAGCAGACCAGAAGGAGATCTTCGAGGCAATTAAGAGCGGCGGACTCGCAGACGTGAAGAGCAAAGACATCAAGAAGATCCTGCAAATGGTCTGGGAAGAGAACCAAGCGCGACGCGACGAGCTCTTGTCTTCATCAGACAAAGCTCCCGGTTCAGCGAACGAGGCCGAAGGCGAAAAACACGCAGAGGTCGAGAAGGCAGATCAGAACATCGTCTCACTCGACCACCTGCACCTCCTCTCCAACGACGACGCCTTCAACGCACTAACAAAGTACCCCGGCATCGGCCCCAAAACAGCATCCTGCGTCCTCCTCTTCTGCCTCCAACGCCCCTCTTTCGCCGTCGACACCCACGTCTTCCGTCTCTGCAAGTGGCTAGGCTGGGTCCCTCCCCCAGGCGATCCCGCAGGCCTCGCACCCGGCGCAAAAGGCACCTTCGCAGGTGCAAACCGCAACTCAACATACGCGCACTGCGAAGTCAGAGTTCCGGACCACCTCAAGTACCCGCTTCACCAACTCCTCATTAAACACGGAAAGAGCTGTCCTAGGTGTCGCGCGATAACGGGCGAGAGCAGTGAAGGATGGGATGAGGGGTGTCCGATTGATCATCTTGTTCAGAGGACTGGTGGGAGGAAGGAGGGTGGTGGTAGTCCTGTTAAGGGAGCTGGGGGCAGTGCGAAGAAGGCGAAGAGCAAGAAGAAGGTCGTGGATGAGTATGAGAGTGATGCGATGAGTAGTGGGTTGAGCGATGCAGAGAGCGAGGTGCTGAGTGATGTGGTTAGTGATGCGGAGGTGGAGGAGTCAGAGGCCGAAGCATCAGCGTCTGAGTGAAGGCGACGAGGAGACATTTCGTGCATTTATCTCGGTATATAAAGGTTATGCCAGGGACCCACCAGCCATTTTCTTTACATGTACACTATCTTTTCATATATATTCATATATTTTCAAATCTAGCATACCACATCGGATCCTGCTCCCTTTTCTCTTTCTCTCCTCCCCTCATATCCCCTACTCCTCCGTAGCCGGTGCCTTGAGCACCTCATCCAACCTCACCACCGTCGCCGAAAACGGCGTATGCAACCCCTCCGCCCTCCCATCATACGTCTCGCCTCCATAAACCAGTAGATGATTCGGTCTCTTGGCGAAAATCTGAATCGCCCTACTATACACCGCACCAGCAGGCGTCATATGTTCCTCCCACTTATCAATCGCGCCACCCGCGGAATTCGTATACACCTGTCGCCTATCCGCATCACTCACAATGATCGTACCGTTGGGTCCGCCCAGCGGAGACCAAACCACATACGGACTCGCATTCGGCACCGTCGCATTATTAACAACAATCGGTCTGCCCACTGAATTGCGGAAGTTTGTGGGCTCATCAGCCATGACATAGTAAACGGGGTAGTTTTGCCCATACGAGCTGGAGTTTCCGATGGGCAGTTCATGGACGAGGATCCATTGGTCGAGCGGCGGGATGTAGGCTACGACTGTCATGCCAGGGCGCGCGAGGTACTCGTCGTAGACAACGTCGTTTACGACGGGGCCCCAGGTGCGGAGGTCGGTGCTGGTTTGGTGGGCGAGCTTTTGGCCGTGCAGGGGGTCGCGTTGGTCCGAGTAGTAGGCTATTAGTTCGCCTTTGTATTGGCTGCGTGGAATGTTAGTGGGTGTGTTGGTGAAGTGGTGGGAGGGAGGTTGGGTGACGTGACGTACAGAAAGTAAGGTTCCCATATAGGGTCTGCACCATTCGTAGTATTCGGGCGTCCGCCCTCAGCGACGTGGCTTACAAACTCCCAGGTTCGCGCTCCATCCGTGCTGGCGTAGAGGTCGATGCGCGTTCCGTTGTTGCTCCAGCTGTTTCCTCCACCTAGGATGGTTCCGGCTTCGTAGCCACCCATTGGCTCCGTTAATTCGGTCAACGCGGGCTGGGCGCTGAAACCCCATCCGTTGACCGTGTCGTGTAGGTCAGAGATATGTTCCCAGGATGCGCCGCCATCTTTCGACTCGAAGATAGGGAAGTAGTTTGGGTTGTGGCCGGAGAGGGAGGCGGTGGCTATGATGGTTCCATCTTGGAGTTCGGTGTAGCGGGGGTAGGTGATTGATTCGTTGCCCGTGGTTTGGTAGATGGTGTTGTTTGTGAAGAAGCCCCAGGGTTGCGGGGTAGAGGTGTTGCAGGATGGTGGGTATGGGTGGGCTATAGCTGTGCTTGTTAGGGCCGCTGTGGCCGCTAGGATCTTGAACAACATTTTGAAACACCTTCCAATTGCGGTACTAGGAGAGACGTTTGATTGATGCTGGGGTTCAATCGATCGATCGTACCTTCAGCTTAAGTATCTGCACTTCATCGTTGACGCCACAGGCTCATCTCTTCCTTCGGCTACAAATGCGCGTCATCATGCTCGTCAAAGCTTACCCTCAAGAAGCTATGCGTAGTTCAATGGCTGGTACGAACAGTGAGGGATATACCCGGCGGGCCGTCGATCATGTTGTCGGTTCCCCATGGGGCGTCTTTTGCCGGTGGAAGAAGCTCGTACGTCCTCACCTTGCTCGCCAGCTACTGCTCTGCATGAGTCTTTTTCGTGAGGGGTATACAGTGTCTGTCAAGATCTGGCTGTGCGCCGACGGGTAAGTCGGGTGTGGAGTTGCTGTACGTACTCCGGCTATGTTCGTCGGTAGATGAGTGTGCCTAAACTTATGAAGCGAGCTCAACAACAGTGCTCATGGCTGTCAGAGCTTTTGAAAGTTTTCAGTTGTCGTGGGTGACTGAAACGTTGTGGAAGCTTCTGTGTAGTTGTAATCAGTATAACTTTTGCCTCTTCTTCGGATGTTACAACCACCAATCGGACAAAACTGAGCATGTGATGGCCTCGCCCAGGTATCCTGACACGTCGTACTCACCCAAAGGGAAGGTTGTATCCAGCGCTGGGGCTAAACTGAAAGTTTGGGTGCTGCAAGTGCAAACAGCCGCGGCTCTTAAGTCTTTCTTCCACGAACCTCATGAAGGATCGGAAAGTGGAGATATTGTTGCATGAATAGCGACACATGTGAGTGCCCGAATCTGGCAACGATCTTCTAAAGTAGTCCAACAGTCGGTTAGCATATCCGAGCGACATGATGGCGTAAGTCGGCGCTCTGCAGCGTCTTAGGTAAGTATGTACCCCATGGGGTCTGCTCGTCACCTTGCATGATGCAGCAGTGCTCCACAAAAGGATGTCACCTGTTGAGTTTCCGAACAAGTGCCGTAGATTTCTTCTTCTTGGCGAGTTTCTTCTGCTTGGCATCATTTACTTGAAGTGCCAGGAGACGGTGAAAATGCGACTTGGACTGTGTCGATTGGGCGTAGAATCAGAAGCAAGGGGTTTGACCATCTCCGGATTGTATAGAAGTCTTGGTGTTCTCGTACGGCAGTTGGAATGGGCAATAGCTCCGTAGTATACCAAGAGATCGACTGATGAAGTCGTGAGTATGGGACTTGTGGTGAGGTTGAAGGTGAAATGCGAAAATGTACTTAAACGTCCGCTGCGAGACCGAAGGAAGGCTATCGCATCCTTCAAGCCTAGGGATCCCTGACAATGTTCCGTCCAACCTCTTTCTTCGCGCTTGGCGCTCTATTGTTCCTCGCACTCTTTGATCAGGCTACCGCTGTCACAGCGGGCTGTGGCAAGGCGCCAAGGCTGACCAACGGCGTCCAAAGGGTCACGGTGAACGGCAAGCAACGCCAGTGGACGCTGCGAATCCCGAACAACTATGACAACTCCCACCCATACAAGTTCATCTTCGGTCTCCATTGGCTCAATGGCGACATGACATCCGTCTCGGGCGGTAACGCACCATACTACGGCCTTGCGGCCCTGGCAAACGAGACTGCCATCTTCGTCGCACCCGATGGTATTAACAAGGGGTGGGGAAACACGAACGGCGAAGACATCACCTTCCTCGACACTGTCCGAAAGGCAGTTGAGGATGACCTATGCGTGGACGAGACACAACGTTTCTCGCTCGGTTTCTCCTACGGCGGCGCTATGAGCTTCAGTCTGGCCTGCAGTCGTGCAAACGAGTACCGCGCCATCGCTGTGCTTTCTGGTGCAACTCTTTCAGGCTGCAATGGCGGAAACACGCCCATTGCGTACTACGGCCAGCACGGCGTCAAGGATAGCGTCCTACCCATCGCTATGGGAAGAGAAATCAGGGACCGCTTTGTGAGGCTGAACGGATGCCAGCAGAAGAATGCACCAGAGCCGGCCAGGAACAGCAGACAGCGTATCAAGACGGTGTACGATGGTTGCAAGTACCCGACGCAGTACACTGCTTTCGACGGTGACCATGTTGCGCTTCCTGGAGATGCGGGTAACGATGTTGGACCACAGAGCTTCACGCCCAAGGAGGTTTGGAGCTTCTTCTCTCAATTCTGAGTGGTGTGAGTCGATGTAGTGGGCCGATGGTATGTGCCTTGGAGGATCTGATGGTGATGGCTGGCGAAAGTGGCCGACAGGGGAAGTATAAACCAGTATAGCGACATTTGTATATATCTTAGTGTTAGTGTGAGAGGCACGCAATGAAATAAAATGTTGGTGGTTCAGAGATGTGCATGTAGCAGCAGCTGTGACGTTGAGACAGACTTCCAACAGGTCTGCGCGCTATAATCTTACGTCCGAGACGTTAGGCCGAGAGTGCATCGTCGAAGACTTGGCAGGCGGTTGAGTTGACGGCGGAGTGATGAGGGAAGTGTGAGGGGCCAAACGAACCGCACGTGAAGAGGCGCCGCGCTAACCGGCTCCTTCCCCACCAACGCGAATGTCAACACTAACCAGTCGCGTCCCATCTCCACCACAACGTCATGGTAAGCATCAACAATCCGCTGTTATACGCGCATACTGATCGTGTTCAGGCGCCTGCGCGCTCTAAGGATGCGAAAGCAACGAAAAAGCGAGGCCGGCCTCCGGGCAGTCGCAATTCTGGCGCCGTCGTGAAGGCCAAGGCGAAGCCTGCATCAAAGCCGGCAGCAGCAAAGAAGGGCAGACCGAAGAAGAGACCAGCCCAGGAAGAAGTCGAGGATGAGCTCTCAATCACGGAACCCGCGCCAACCCAACCCTCGAGACCCCGCAAGCGCAAGTCGGACGAAGTCGCTGAACCTGAAGCCGAGTCGCGCAAACAGTACGTGCAGCTGGAGAACAAGAAGAAGAGGATACCCCAGGAGCAGATAGATTCGTGGCCACAAGTGCCGCCCCAGGTCTTGGAGCAGATCACAACGGTGGTACGCAATGCGAAGAAGGACATCGCCGAGACGCAGCGAGACGAGCGTAGGATCATGGCGGCACACAACACACTCAACCCCCTCGTACGGAAGCTAGCGCGTCAACTAGCAGAGTCGCGGATACCTCCACAGGCCAGAGACATCCATTTCAACATCGACAAGCTCACGGAGCGCAATGCCCAAGTGTCGCGAGAGGTCACGACAGCCCGGCATTCCAAGCAGCTGCTCAGCGAGCAGGTCAAGATTGCCCAGCACCTGCTGAAGAAGGACGAAGATAACCTGGACGACCTCAAGAAGAACGTCAAGAATTGGAGAGCCGAGTGGAAGCACCAAAGGAAGCATGGACGTGTGCGTATCTGTCTATTCTGGTCGAGCTGAACGTGTTGCTAACCTGCTGCAGATCCACCCCTTACTCAAAGACGAAGGCAATGCGACGGCCCACGGCGACGGCCCCGACGACATCCGTCTGAAGCGATCAGAGCCAGTAGCTTCCCCCCTTGTCGATGCGTCCGATGACGACCTCGCGCCAGTGCTTGCCCAATTGCGACGTAGCCTGGAGAGCATGCAGGGCAACCATACACAGGTCGAGGGTCTCGATACGACGATTAACGACGCGCAAGCAGTACTAGACGACGTCTTGTTCAGGCACGCTGGCGCAGCGCAATATGCTGCCATACAAAATATCGATATGCAGGTCCCATGATGACTTTTGTTCTTTCTATAGCCACGCATGGCTCGGCGCATGGATCGGGCTCTGGGCAGGTGTGGTGAATACGGTACTGGGTTCGATATCAAGGCAGGTGTATGGCGTTGGAGGGCATCGGCGTAATTTCAATACTCTAAAGGAAGCTTTGTGCGAGGCATGGGCTAGGTTAGCAAGGCCCGTACCAGGCTGTCGAGCGTGGCGGCTGGCTGGAGTTGGCAGCGAGACCATTCAAGTCTATCAATTTACTCCCAGTTTTAGAACTGCGATTCCGACGGTATGGTCTTCGGAATGCGCGCGTTCGCGGCCGTCTCCATCATGTAGTGTAGCAATGCAAGGGCATGATTGGCTCCACCAGGGCTTCGGCAGAGCGGAGCCACTTCTGCAGCTGCAGCCCTTCTATGCGAAACTTGTGCAAACTACAACATGTCAAGCGCCGCTATCTGAATGCCCCGTCGAGATCACCCGCATTGCAGCGGGAAGCTGTCAAAATCTCCACTAGGAGGGTGGGCGGTGCACTTCTCCGCGATTGGGCGTGGGATTCTCCGGGTTCTTCCTTCCAAGGTTCGGTTCGGCAAAGCACGCGACCGCGAACATTCACTTGTTCCTTCGTGCTTCTGAAACCACCTCTCCGCCACTCGTCTGCCGCGACTACGGGTTCTGCTGTGCCACCAAAGAACGTGTTCCTGGCGCATCTCGACCTTCTGCGCGCTTTTCGATGCTCGAGTGCGTGACGAGACCCCTGTCGTAACACACATGAACCTGCGCGTCTCCAAGAAAAGCACCCGGCTCTGACACCGACCCACTACCCACACTTGATGTCGGAAGCTGCACGACGATCAAATGGAGCTTCGCCAGTCAGAATGACCGATCCACCAGAAGCCGACAAGGACAAAGTCGCTCCAGAAAACACCGCGCCCAAGACCCATTCACCCTCCAAGAGCAAGCCCGATGCGACCAATTCCGAGGCGTCCGCAAAACCGCCAAAAAAGCGTAGAAAAGTAAATCATGGTAAGCCATCGATGCTGTGTACCCACAAATGCATCCGCAACCCTGCTAACCTATATGCCTTCCTTCAGCATGCATCTACTGCAGACGTTCGGTGAGCCACAGCCAATTCCCCAGCATTCGATACATGCAATGTATTTCCATGTAAGACAATTGTTACTGCTTGCTGACACACACCAATCAGCACATGACCTGTGACCTCGTAAGTGCACTGAGTATGGCCTCATCTGTTCGCAAGCTGATTGAGCTCGCCCAATGTAGGAGCGACCATGCACACGCTGTGTCAAGCGCAATATTGGACACCTATGTCACGATGAGCCGCGTGAGGGTGTCAAAAAGTCCAAGTCCGAGCCAGAGAATGGCGATGGACAGAGTCAGCCCACTCAGGTCGAATCGACTCCCTCCGACGCCGCATCGACGGCCGCTCCTCCAGTTCCGGATGCAGCGCTAAACCTGGCGCCTCACCCAGTACCTCCTAATAGGGATGCCAGCACTACGTCAGGTACCCAGCCTGACTCCGTATCCGCGCCACAATTACCTGCCCTGACAGCTGGTAGTCAGCCTTGTAAGTTACACTTCTTCTCAGCTCCCTTTTGTAGTCGTCACTGACGTGCCGGGAGTCTTGGGCTACGATGGTTTGCTCTCCTCGTCTCAGAACAACCTTCAGGACATGCAGTTCCACCCTTCATATATGTTCAACACCTCCGAAGTCAGTAATGAGTATAACCTACTCAACGACTTCCTCAACAACAGCCTCATGGACGACGGCGCGTTTTACGGAGGCAATGACTTCCACAGCCTCTTTTCCGATGCCTCACTCATGAATCAGATGGGCTCTTTGAACAGCAACTCTGCCTTTACCTCGAACGCGTCAAGACCGCCGCAATTACTTCCGCCTCCCGCGCAAAGTGTCGGTGGTCATACTGCATCACGACAAACAGGTGGCGTCCCTACCGACAAGGCAAGAGAGAGATACCTTGTCACGGCCGCTGATCCTGCCGGATCAGACAGTCCTGAAGAGCGCATGAACAAGCTACTCAAGGCCAAGGTCGACGCAGGGTTGCTAAAGCCTTTCAACTATGTTAAGGGCTATGCTCGGCTAAACCAGTACATGGAGCAGAACCTGCAACAAGCATCTCGCATTCGAGTACTGCGCCAACTAGATCGCTTCCGACCCAAGTTCCGAGAGCGAATGCAGAGTCTGACGGATGTGGATCTAGTACGCATCGAGATGTGGTTTGACAAGAGCTTGATGGAGTACGATCGCGTTTTCGCAAGCATGGCTATACCCGCGTGCTGTTGGAGAAGAACAGGCGAGATATATCGCGGCAACAAAGAGATGGCGCGACTCATCCACGTACCGATGTCAAAGTTGCGAGACGTAAGCGAGGACCCAGCACTTGAACTTCGATCCAGCTGACAGAATGTAGGGTAATATCGCTCTGCACGAGATCATCGCGGAGCCATCACTCGTTTCCTACTGGGAGAAATTCGGCGCCATCGCTTTCGACCATACACAAAAAGCCATCCTGACGAGCTGCTCTTTGAAGAACCCAGACCCGCACTCTAAGGATCCTGAGATACGGTGCTGCTTCTCTTTTACCGTCAAGCGCGATGCTTGGAATATGTAAGCGAAGGTGGACATTACTTTCGAGCTCAGACTGACTTTTGTAGACCGGCGTTGATCGTAGGTAATTTCCTTCCCATCACCGAGGCCACATCGGGGTCGCTACCGGCGTCTTGAGGCCCTCGAAGCCGCACCACAAATCACAACAATGACTTCATCAATCTTCTACAAGTTCAAGAATTCAAGGGAAAGCAAGCGCATTATCTTCAACGGCACCGATTTGAGCGTTGCTGAGTTCAAAAAGGAGAGGCCCTTGTGAAGACTTCGTTCGGAACGAGTGTTTTTGTAAAATCTTTGCTGTACAACGGGTTGGGAACAGGGTAATGTCTGTCTTTGGTGTCTCGATACATTGGCCCGGAAGAGTGCGCACATCTCTCGGGAGGGTAATTGCAAGTGCGGCAATATCCACAGGTTTACTTCAACATGTACATCCTTTTGCCTGCCTTCATATTTGCATTTATTTGTTTCTTTGTCTTACATTCAGTTTTCCTCGCGACCACGTGCATGCACCTTCCTGATCTTCTGCACGTGCGCGCGGAGCCACCTTCCAGAGTGGCAGTCGGGATCTGACATTTCACACCTTCAAGCTTCACATCAACCAACGTCACTCGCATTGCCATCTGACGCGCATCATGCCGCCCGCGCAGTCAGCAGCCAAACTAGAGCGAGAGAAGAAGCTGAAGGCAGTCCTCAGTGAGTGCACTACCTCGCGCCTGCCCTTCGCGTGACACTTACCTTCCCACCAGCATTCGCCTCGACGCTCAGCAAACGTATAGAAGCCGGCAACCACGCGACGATCATTGGTGAGCTTCAGGCCCAGATTCTCGGATTGCCACTCAAAACCTCGACTGCCGTTACCGCGAGGCAGGAAGAACTCGACAGGCTGGGAACCGAGCTTTGGAACCAAGCTACGCGCTTGCGACGCGACATATCCGTCATCAACAACCAGTCGAGGGACTCAGCGGCAGACAAGACCAATGTGGTACCTTTCCTTTGTGCGTACGCATTCCTGCTCCTCGACTCAGCTGGCGTTCGCGGACCGAACAACGTACGCCAGCGCAAGAGCTGCATCCGTCTCATGAAGGTTGCACTGAAAGCTGCAAGAGTGTGCATCGAGGCGAGTGAGTTGAGCATCGCGACAGACCTGCTCAAGCTCGCTGCTGAGTACGAAGATGTTATGAGCAAGGGAACCGAGGACAAACCTGAGAAGGACAACGACATCGCGGATGGCCTGCGCGCGCAGTATTTCGCTGTGCGAATGACTTTGTCGTGGCGTCAAGATCAAATGGGTATGGCAGAGCATATGTTCGAGAAGTGCAAGCAGGTCTGGAAAAGCTTTACTTCTACCATCACTGAGCAGCTTGCCGATCTGCTGTACGAGATCGGGAAGGCTATGTTGGCGAAGCGCGACTATGAGGTTGCTACGAGATGGCTAGAGCGCGCCTTCGATGTTCTTGGCGAGCAGGATCTGGACATGCTTAGTCCAGAGATTGGTGAGCTGAGACTCAGTATCATGCAAAGTCTTGGTGAGCACGTCCGCATGACATGGCTATGAGGCTCTGGCTAATGAGGTTGTCAGTCAAGGCGTACATGAAGACTAAGACGTCTATTGCCAAAGAGAAGGCATGGCAGATGGTGAAGTTGATGGAGACTGTGCGCTCGTGAACGATCTGGCTCAGTCCTATCTTTGACTGACGCTCTTCAGGACTTTGGCGACAAGATGATCGTCTCATTGCTGAAGATCGAACTGCTGTCCGAAGCCGAGACCATGGACACGTCCGAGTTCTACAATGGCGAGCTACTTGAACCTCTCCGTCATAACGCCGCTAATTCCCTTAGTCCTTCTGCGCATGATCCGTACCATCGTGCTGAACGATACGAATTTCAAAACGCATGCACTTTATCCGTTACGCTTCCTACTTCAGTCTGACTAATACATTTCAGCATCATGCACTACATACACAAGCTCAAAGACCACAGGTACACATAACCATACGCACCTACAGCGTCTCGCTGACCACTTCTAGCAACGTGACCGCCTGCAAAGTACTGGACGATCTGATCGATATCCGCCTCTTCCGAGAGGAAAACCAGTCCTGGGTCGAGAAGGCAGTCATCACACGTATCTGGGTTGGAATCAGCAACAGTCTTTCCGACAACTCGCTCGAGCAACTCAATGACCTCTTCGATACCGTAGCGCAGAACTCCAAAGTTTCGCTCTCTGCCCCTGCCACACATGCTGCGCAAACCCTCTTGTGGAAGAAGGTGGAGGCTGCGTCCAGCCAGGAACAACACAACATCGCTGAGGCTTGGTGTCGAGCATGCCTTCATGACATCTTCGAGAAGGCTGGCGTTCAGAACAAAATCAAGATTGCGAGAAAGATCATACAGTGCGCCTTGTCACGTCAAGATTACGAAGCTGCCCGGGAAGTGCACGCCAAGATGCCTGAGAGTGGTAAAGACGACCCGATAACTCGCTACCTCATGTACAAAACAGGTCTACGAGGCGGCGATGAGATCTTCGCCGCTGAATGTCTCGATTGCGTCTGTCGGAGTTCCGCAAAGGACGCTACCCTACTTTACGCTTGCGTCATGGAGGCTCAGAGTGCGGGGAGCAAAAGACAGGCTATCAATGCTCTCGAGAAAGTTCTGGAGAAGTACGAGCATAGCGCACCGGCGGGGATACATCTCCCTGCGCTTTTACGGTACGTCGCGCACCCGAAGTGTCACCCTCCTCTCACATATCACCAGGTCTACCGCACGTATGTTGGAGTCCGAGCTTACTAAAGACGGTAACATTGATGCCGGTATATTGGAACAGATCTGCAACGTCTTTGAGGGAGGTACGTCGTTGTGCACTCCCGGAGGAGGCACCCTTACTGATTGTCAAAGCATGTGTTCAAGCCAAAGCATCTCGTATCAGGCCGAGCACGCCGGCCAAGGAACTTTTCACAGCCGTGGAGTTTGAGTGGTTTTCTAAGAACGCTTACAACATGTCGTTGAAGTACTGCGCGGAGATGCCACCAGGACATCTGGTCAGGTTGCTCGGTTGCTGCACTGAGGTGAGCTGAACGCCAAAGACGGAAGCAATACCACTAACCCTTGTAGTTCATCAAGCTTCTCAAGGAGAAGACCGAACCAAACCCAGACGGTGATCTTTGCCTCCGGCTGGTGTTCTGCGAGTTTCTCACTGCTTGTACCTACACCACCCTGGCACGCGCAGAGGATAACACCAAGCAAAGTGTGAGTCGCGCATCTCCGTAGAACGACCAGTGTCTGACTACTACAGATTGGTTACTACCTCGAAGCCCATAAGCATAGCCAAGAGTTCCGACGCACCGCAGCCGAGAGCATCAGCAAACTTGGTGGAACCTCCCAAGACGACATCATGTCCAAATACTTCCAAATTGTCAAATTGGAGCTAGAAGCTGTCCTCAAGCTTGAGAGATGGGATGAGCTTGACAATCTTTTCGATCAGTGTTGGAAGTACAAGAACCCGGATCATTACGAGACTTTGGCGGACCTCGTTCTGGTCGTGCATGGCTGCATCGTGAAGGCAGGACTAGAAGACAAATATCAGAAGAGTAAGATCATCGAACTACTCGCTGGATAAAGACTGACGAAGTTGACAGAAGTACTATCTGTTCTGCAGAAAATCATCAACCTGACGTGCCGCCAACCCTCAGGCCGCGACATCACGAAGCTGGCACGCTGGCTTAGATGCATGTTCAGCCTTTCACTTGAGTACGACGAGGACGTCAGTATCAAGTGCATTCAGCAAGTGACTTATCTCGCAGCGAAGCAGAAAAATGTGAGTTCCTCCACACCTTTGCATCCCCGATATATTCCTAAGCCCATTCAGACCCTCCATCCCACCATCGCGACAGCCGGATTGGACACACCACCGCCATCATCTGATTTCACGACAAACGACGATGCTGCAGACCTGGCTGACGAGTGCATTAAGGAGATCGACTGCTATCCCAAAACCGAGCTCGAATGGCTCGCAAGCACCGCTTTCAATCGCGCCGTGGATTTTTACCTGTCAGAAGACGATGTTAAGACGAAGAAATGGGCAGACCAGGCGTTCATCGTCGCACAATGGATTGACGATAATGGTGCGATGCGAGATTTCCTGATGGACAGGTTCGCGAACCTGAAGTTTGGCGATGGCGAGGAGTCGGCGGCGGCGGTGCAGCGAGCGGGCTGACAGGCGGTTAGCATCTTCCGAACCCGATCATCCAACGGGCGGCAGGATAAGCACTTGACGCGCTACAGGAATAGCGCGTCTGCTGCACCTGTGGCTTCGTGGCTTTCACAACCTGGGCATTCGCATCCTCCTCCACTGATATACGTTAGCTAAAATTATATACGTAAGTCTTGAACTCTGCTCCGCTGATTACGCCACGAGAAGTGGGGCGAGATGCCGAGCGGCCGTAGGTTCCGCGCGGTCAGAACCTCAACTTTTCGCACGACGGCGCTGTGTAATGTCGGCGTCGTCGGTGTTGTGGCGGTCGTACAAAAAAGGAGGATGACTGGTCAGGGGAACTCTGACTATGGAAGGTGAGTCGATGACATGTGAGTCGATGAAGAGTCAGGCCAATTATGGGATTCTGAGTTTGGCATGCGACGCGCACGCGACATGTATCCACATTTGGACGTTTCTGACCCATGTATTCCCGGGGATGCAATCACAGCGAGGCTCGCACTGCACAGGCGTCGTCATGTTCCTTAACGCTTGTCAAGGATGACGCTGGCTACTCCCGCGGTTAGCAGCCTATACCTTCCACTGCTTCACCAAGCTGCCCACTATTTGCTTCCATTTGCTGGGTCGCATCGCATTGCTACCACTTCACCCTCACACCCGCCGCCTGTCACCTGTCGCATAGCCTAGCCGACCACACAATGAGGTTCTTCTCGCGGCTGCACCTCTGTGCGGCTCTTGCCATTCTCATGATCTTGTACTTCACCTGGGTACATTCCGCCAACTTCGAAGACACCGTCCACACCGTATGGCGCGGTAACGCGCACCGCATAGTAGTCTTCGGCAACGATTGGTCCGACACAGGAAGCTACCGCGTCTCTTCGCCTGTGCTATCTGCAGTGGTAGCCCGCGACGCAGATCGAGGCGACCTATGGGTAGAAACGCTATGCAAAGAGGTTCGTCAGAGTCATGCCCTCATACAAAAACACAGTCTAACACACTCCAGCTCGCATGTGACACGATTGACAATTTCGCCCACTCCAAGCCAGCCGCGGCTGCACACATCGGATCGCTAGTCGACGCAAACGTCCACACGGAAACGAAAGGCGCGGGAAGCAACGAGACAACCGTCACGTCGTTTGACTTCAAGACACAAATGGAACAGTACGTCGCCTACGACAAGGGGCGACGAGTCATCCCCGAACGCCTGCGGAAAGGAGACGAATGGACTTTCTTCACCGTCTTCTTCGGCTTGTGGGATTTGCTCGAATACTCTACGTTGGAGAAGCCTGTGGCCATGTCCGCGGTGGATAAGAGCATCGAGTCGCTCTTCCACAGTCTCGACATCCTGGCTGAACACGCAGCCCACCCGCCCAACATCGTCATACCCAAAATGATCGACGCCTCCTTCCTCCCGCAATTCCAGTCACAAAAGAAAGCCATGCGGGAAGCTGACTTTGCGGTGACTCAGCACCGAATGGTGTTTTTATGGTCATACTGGAACACAGTCTTACTTCGCAAGGCTTCCGAATGGAAGAATGGCAATATCTACATGCCTCTCCCGAATGATATCATCATGAATGAAGTCCGCGCCAAACAACTGCACTCGCGACAGATTTCTGATGCGACTGGTGTGGGGGCTCAGGCACCGCTTTTCGAACACGTCGATACGCCGTGTTTGGATGCTGTAAGGGGGAGTGGGTTGGTTAAGTGCTCTGCGCCGACTCAGCACTTATTTTGGTAAGTTCATAAGCCGTATCCTCGATCATTCGATACATCTACCGTTTTTACGCTATACGCAGCTCAGTCGCTGCGTAGCACCAAGCTCCTTTCAAGCCACAAGCCACAGGCACAGCACAAACGCTTTGTCTCTGTTTCAAGCTAACGGGGTGATGTGATAGGGATAATATCCAGCTCAGTGGTCCGGCTCATGAGCTTATTGGAAAACATGCCGCAAACTTGGTGCGCGGCAATCGGAGTATTAATGCTGTGCGTGAAAAGAATGAGGAAGAGAAGAAGCAGGAAGAGGAGCGAGCGCAGTTTAACCTCAAGTTTCCTCCGGGGTATTAGCACAAGACACTGTCTAGAACTCGGCCGAGACTGAACGGAGCTTCCTGCTTCCTGCTTCCCCGCGACACGGACACGGACACAGGAAAGAGGGACGGATCGGAAGAGGACGAGGGAGCGAGCTTTGACCTCAAGTTTCTTACTGGATACTATCACAGGTCATTAAGAAAGTGACTGAGACCTCGCCAACAGAACGAAGTTTCCCTCGGGTCGTCAGCACAAGTTATCAAAGACACTGTTTGGAACTTGGCCATGGCTGAGAAGAGCTTCGTAGAACTACCTGGTCACCCGCGACACGGGGCAAAGTGCGCCTCGCCACCACCAGGACGGCATATAGCCGCAAGGAGCAGTATGACTGCATCATCTCGAGACTGGGCCATAGTCGTTGTTATGAAAGAGGGTGCTGTAGCGTTGGACAGGACCGGGGAAGTGGAGAGGGTGGAGGGGAGGCGGAAATCTCTGAGGTCTATTGCCTCCCTGGCTCGCACTCGTCTTCTGATGCTTTGACTGCAAACATCATCAGTCAAAATAGGGGAGGGTATCGTCTACAGCTTCGCTGTTGAGCTGAGCCACAGCCGTTGCGGTGCGGCACACTGCGATGCGGGAAGGTGTTGCATTGTTGGCGCCCCTTGCATAAGCCGCGCATCAAAGTACCACTCCAATGACGAAGGCGAGACAAGACCAAGCCCTGGTCTGAGACAAAGCCCCGACTCTTATTTGCATAGCTGGCACAGGAATGTAATGTCTCGCGGTTGGTGGAAGCTCGTCTTGGCACGCTCCCGAAGTAGTAGAACAAAGAAACCGCCAGCGCAGATCGGCTGCATATGACTGGAACAATCATTTTACTGGATCACGGCTGCTACCATCGTCAAAGCGTCAAAGATCCAACTTCAGCTCCCGGATAATGCATTCAAAGATACGGACATGTTGTTAATAGTTCGTTACCAACGCGGCTGTTCCCTCCCTTCGTGTCCGACCGAGGACAATGAACCGCGCCTTCTTCCATCGGAGTCATTAGGTCAGCTGCCGCGTCTCTAGAAATCGAAAATGCTAGCCAGTCGAGTGTTGCCACCAATTGTTTGGACTTTGACTCCTTCTCCCCATTCTCCGCCTGTCGCTACCTTCTTTCACGTGCCGAGGCGGTACGTCAAGACAAACATGCAGATTGGTGATACCTCTCCAGTGTCTCCAATGGACGATGCGAAGCCTTCGAGGAACTTGCGCAAGAGCAGTCGGATCAACGAGACGCGCCCAGCCTCCACATCTAATCCTACCGCTGAGCATACTAAGAGGGACGAGCCGCCAGCCTCTCCTGCTTTGTCGTCGCCGAGGACTACAAGGAAAAGACCTTCGCCGCTGATTGAGATTGACGGGGCCGACGACTTGATCAGCCCATCTGACGATAAACCTCCCCCAAGTGCTTCGTCCGCTACAGCTGGCGGCGAGCCAGACTTCTCAGGTCATGTTTGCTTGTGTCAGCCAGAGCCGAAAATACCGCGTCCGCGAAATGGTAAGTCGATATTATCTTCCTTTGTCTTGGATGTACGTCACTTTCCTAATCGGAGCATTTGACTTGGATTTGACTCAGAACAAAGACACCCATCATTGTTTGCGGTCATTCTTGCGCAGCCTGCTGACCATTGCCTTGTAGCTTTTATCCTTTATCGACAGCACCACCAGCAGGCCATTACCGCTCGTAATCCGGGTCTCAACAATCCTGACATCTCAAAGATTATCGGTGAACAGTGGAAGGCTGAGGGTGAAGAGCAAAAGAAGGTTTGGCAGGACCTTGCGCAGGTCAGTAGCCCTTAAAACCTCACCCTTTATTGTCTTTGTTAACATGGGTTTAGGAAGAGAAAGCTAGGCACCAAGAACAATACCCCGACTACCGCTATCAGCCGCGTCGTCTTGGCAAACCTGGGTCGTCACCATTGAACCCCACTGGCCAGCATACGACAGTCGACAAGTACCGTTGTCACAAGTGTGGTGGCCGCAGTCTGAGAACACCTACCAGTCCTTTCCTCGACGCCTCCGGCACCCCAACTCTGCCGCCTCCTAACATCTCGGAAGGCCTCACGCCAACAACTCGTTACCTACCCGTGATGAGTAACCTTAGCCTTGAGTCGCCCGGTCATCGCCGAGGCCCCATTCCACCAAGCCTCAGTAATATTCAGCTCAATCCGACTATGCGTGGAGACACGATGATGTATAGCCCTTTGACGCCGAACAAGAAGCGCCGCTTCGACCAAGGGCCTCCGCCAACGAGTAACGGTCGTAGACCAGAGGGATCGCATAACGGCCCGATCCAGCAATACGCCGTCTATCGACGCGAGTCTTTGCCGCCCATCCATGTGACGCCACATAGTGCGACAATGCCTCCTCCACGAACCCCTCGCGAGATGCGCCATCAGTCAATGGTTGAGCTAGGATCTCTACAGTCCGATGGCAGTCCCAAGAGCGTAGAGGAAGTTCTCAGTGCTTTCCCATACCCCAACAAGATCAAACTCCTCGGACGTATAACGCCTCCCTATCAATATAAAGAGCCCGGTTCCGCCAGCCCATCCTACCGCGCCAACCGCGGCGCCATCATCGCCATCGAAGGCGACGACCCAGCCGCCGTCAAAGAACTCACAGAATGGCTCAACGAATACCTCATCAAGCAAAAAGAATACAGCCCTCAGATCGCGGAGCCACCGCAAGCCCCCACCGACAACGCTGACAAAGAAGTCACATTCGAAGACTACCTCGACCTAATCAAAGAATGGCACGCCAAAAGCAAAGAAATGATCAAATACATCACCACAACACCCACCTCCTCCACAGACACCCCGTCATCCAACAACAGCGACACAATCATCGTCTCCACAAAAGACACCCGCAAAGACTCCGCCACACCCCCCGACTCCCCCTCTCACTCCCTCTCCTCCATCCCCACCATCAAACCCGTAATCCTGCTCCCAACCTTCCAACTCGCCGCCTCCATCGCCTACGCCTCCCGCATTCCCATTCAAGACGCCTACAGCCCAACCGACCACTGGCAGTGGATGGCGACGCTGTGGCGCGGCACCGTAGGTCCTGATCTTACGTTGTATGTTAAGAGCTTCGATCCGAAAGAGGGGCAGGTGGGAATGAAACCGGAGATGGATGAGGGGGTTAGGTGTTTGAGTGTTTGGAAGGCGTGTGGACCTGGAGGCAGGTTTGCGGATGCGGATTTGAGGAGGGTGGGGTTTGAGGTGGGTGAATGGGTTAAAGGATGATTGAGGTGATTAAGATCGGGTGGAAGAGAGGTTGGCGGATGAATTTCTTTCTTTTCTTGGTTTCCCTTTTTTCTTCTTTCCTCTTCTTTCTTGCGGGGAGAGGCCTTTCTTGGTCATGGGGTTATAGGTTGGTATGGCATGGTGCTGTTACGGTCTTTACATTTGAGGTAGATCATGATGATAGAATCTCTGGTTTATAGATAAAGAAATGGTACATACCTTCATGACATGAGAGATGATGAGATGTTGCAAGTAAAAGTAGGACGCAGGCAAGCAGTCAAGCATGTTGTGACATATACACACTCATTTAATTCATATTTACAACGAAGTGCTGCACCAATCATAGGTACCAACCAATTTTCCCTCCGTCCTCTTCGCATACACACCACGTCTAAGCAGTAAGCTTGCTCTTGATGAAGGCAAGAGCCTGGCTACCGTAGATGCTGACATACTGCTGGTGGTGGTTGGCGTCGTTTCCGTTGCAGCAGTACGGGTCCTGGGAGTCGCAGTAGCTCTGGATGATGCTGGTGCTGGCGGGCGAGCAGGAGAATCCTGAAGGGCGAGCGGCGAACTGAGAGTAGCTTTTAGTAAGAGTAACTGTGGATGAGAGGGTGGTGGACTTACGCCTTGGGCCTTGCAAGTACCGACGTTGTAGGGAAGACCGTTGCGGTTGTGGGGGTCGCCCATGAAGATTGCGGCCTTGACGGCTGCCAGGGCGGTGCCGGTCAATGTGGAACCTGCGCCGCCGCAGACGGCGTTGTCCATGATCTGACCTCCCTGCGGACCGTTAGTACTTGGCGTTCTTGGGTTTCATGGCACCTTTCATACCTGAGAGTATCCGATAAGGACGATCTGGGTGTCTGGGCACTTTTGGTTGTAGGCAGTCACAGCCTTGACAACAGCCGCAGTTCCCTGAGAAGCAGAGTTGTCGTAGGAAATGCCTCCACAGGCAGATCCTCCACCGCAAGCTGGGTATACGATGGCCTCGGATCCTGCACCGGGGTAGGCGCTCTTGACGGAGTTTACGAGACCAGCGGCGGTACCGTAGCCATTGCTCTGGGGCAGGGTGGTCTCACGAGCTCCGAAGATGTAGACCTTGGGGCAACTCTGGCGTTCGGAGAGCTCAACGGGACCGGCGGCGGCGAGACCGGCAAAGAGAGCTGTTGCTGCGGCGAACTTCATGTTGACGTTTGGATAAGTGGGTACTTTGCTTCGGATGGAGATGAGATGTCAAGGGAGTGTGATGATCAAGTCTGGGCAACGGGAGATGTGTTTATAAAGACCAGTTTCACCTGGCCATAGTAGCAGTCCTTTAGGCAGAATCAGTCTGCCTCGACTATACCTCTTAGCGTGGCGGTGGGGTACAGGATACTGGTTTGCGTTCTCCTGGTGCACAGATGGTCCTTTCATCCGTCCTCGCAATTTATCTGAGCAAGTCACGCCGTCCTGTGACGAAGATCCGACAGGGATTATTGCCGTAGCTCCACGTCCATTTCATGCAGAACCAAGCCGAGCTCGTCTGGGGTACATATGAATCCCAGTGTCTTCGGGGGAAAAGCGAGCAAGCGAGCGAGTAGAAAGGTGCAACGTATAGCACCTTCGGCACATCGCGCGCTGGATTGATGGATGGCGTTACGGCCGCGTGGTCAGATGGTGTACCGGCGTGGAGCCGAACCGTTCTGGCTAAAAGGCAGCTCTCGAAAAAGCTTGGGTTGGCACCTTGGGAATCCGGGGTAAAAGGCTTGTTTCTCGGAGCCTCAGCGCTAACATGGCGTACCTGAGGTTGGAAGAAGCATAGCCTCCGGATGTGCGTAAAGAGTGCCAATGTTGTGTATAGGGTCAAGAACGTCGATAGTAGCGAGGTGGCACTCACCGCCCCTCCCTAATTCTGCCGGTGCTCTTGGATTACTCAACATCATTGAAAGGAGACAAGGCCGTTCTAGTGCAACTTGAAGGCGAGTTCAATGGCGGTCTGATTGAGCGTAGCGACTACCGGTTCTCCTGATAATGAAACAAATATAGGGTGGGTCTGTCCGACCGCCGCGTTTCCGTCACTGGTAGGCCTATCACTAGTCAGTGCAAATGCATGTGTCGCTCGAAAGTACGCACTCGGCATGCACATAAGATAGCTCTGCAGGGAGAGGATTTATGACTTGGCTAGACATGAGTCTGCGCGAAGACGGAGGTTCCACGTGGGAAGGTACAGTTGTGTGATGACGTCATCACTGTGTTCTCGCGACTGGCTCCGTCATTACACTATACTAGATAGATGATGCATCGTGAATCGCTGCGGACCTGTACTCGACTGCCACCCACGACTTTGATCGAATACATCGGCATCAAACCAACACATTCGCGAATTTTTACCTCCGCGACTCAGTTCCAAAGATGGTGTTGCCGCTTCAAAAGAGCACACAGTGCTACAAAGTAGCGCATCATCTACCAACCTCTGCAGGCGGACAGCAAATGTTTTCAAATCTCATGTTGAAGATTACAAAGATTCGATAAGCTATTGAACCCTGTCTGTATTGGGCAGGCCTGCGAGCTCTGTGCAATGGGAGCTTTTAGAAAGAGTGCGGGGCACGTCATCGTGTGGCACAGTCAGAGTGCAAGTCCTGACCTCGCATTTGAAGCGCATATCACCTCTCATTCACTTCGAGATCTTACGGCTGGACGCCCCATATCTCACCATGTCACTACAAGACGAGACTGTCGAGAACGTTCCGGATCCGACTTGCGAGAAGAATGATACAACGAATCCCACTGTCGGAGCCGAGACGCGACTCGATATGATCAAGAGCTGGATTAACACCTGCAATCAGCACCATGACTCTCCCTGCGTCATACCCAAAGCAGAAGCAACCGCGTGGCCTACGTGGCTCATCGATACTGTGAACGCTTGCATAGTTGAGGGCGAAATTACCGACCGATATCTTACACTGAGCTACGTGTGGGGCGGAGTACAGACAGTGCAGTTGTCTTCAAGTAACATTGGTCTTTTGAGGCAGCAAGGAAGCCTCATAGAGGTAGAATCCACCCTACCCAGAACAATACGGGAAGCTTTGCAGGTCACACGATTGCTCGAAGAACGGTACATCTTCGTTGACCAGCTTTGTATCGTCCAGGACGATCAGCAACATAAGAAGGTCGAAATTGAGAACATGGCGGAGATATATGCGAACTCTTACCTTACTCTTGTCGCTACCACGGGCGCTACGGCGGACTTTGGCCTGGTGGATCGCCCCGATCAATGGATACATCAGTCTCTCCGTAGCGTAAATTGGCCGGAGCGTAGTCGTTATAATGAAATGAGGTATCTAGGCTTGAAGCAAACGTGGAGTTTCCGAGGATGGTAAGTAAACTTTCGTGTATCACACAGCAGGGAAGTCTTTATACTAACGGTTGTCGTGTTCGATCTCAGGACCCATCAGGAACGTAACAATGCGGGACGTATCTTATACTTCTTCAAATTTGTAAAAGAAAATGTCGAATGTGGGGAGAAGCATGATCCCGACCTCGTATCGTGGTCATGTCACCGAACTCGATGGCTTGACAAAAAGGGTATACTAACAACTGGATCTGACCAACATCCCATTGCAACTGAAGAATTACTTCCGGGCCCGACTACCTGGCCGGACTTTGAAAAATATGCGGCAGAAGTCAGGGATTACGTACCTAGACATTTCACCTATGATTCTGACGTCGTACCGGCATTTGCCGGTACTGCTGCCTCATTTGCAAAGGTCTTCCCTGGCGGTTTCTTATTCGGCCTCCCCGTTCTGTTCTTTGATCTCGCACTTCTGTGGACGTTCCATGCAGTTGCAGCAAGAAGAATCGGATCTGCAGATCTCGAGGAGAGTACTGGGCCACCGAGCTGGTCTTGGATGACCTGGCGTGGGAACTTGTCCGTTCCTATTTTTTGGTGGGGTAACACGCGCTCCCTGATAAAGAGACAGGATGGCGACGAGGGTATTCTTATTTGTCCACTTGTTCAGTGGTACTATAGCGGCATAGGAGGAGCTCGGATCGCGATCAAGAACGAGTATCACAAGTACATACATTTCGCTCGAGACAGTGAAAGTATCCCACCTCTGGGTTGGAGTCGAACTATGCCTTCTTCTAGCAAGTATAGTTCTGATATGCAAAGAAACTACGATTACGAAACACCTGGAGCTCCTGGACTCAAGTTTCGTTTCCCGATCCCACTCGTGGATACATCGCATAAACCCATAACGCTACCGATGCCGACGTCGAATATAATCACATGCCAAACCGAGCGTGCGTACTTTCTTGTAGCTTGGCAGGGGAAGGGCGTCAACGACGGACTGGGTGAAACGGTAGGGATATATGACGTCAAGGGGTCTGTAGTGGGCAGGATGTGGAAATCCGGAGATGCACCTGTACCGACGACAGCGGATCTGAGGGTCGAACTGATTGCGATATCTACCGGCCTTGCAGGAAACAGGAATGAGTGTTATGAGAGATTGTATCGGGGTAAACCTTACACGGAAAATCGAGATGATGACGATGTACGAGAGTTCTACAATCTTCTTTGGATTGAGTGGACAGACGGTATCGCCTACAGAAAAGCCGTCGGTCAAATCGATAAAGAAGCATGGGAAGCAGCTGATCGGGAACTCATCGAAGTCAAACTCGGATGAGAGGGTGCGTTCTTGATGTTATTGTAGCCCCGCCTACGTTCTTATATCAGCTCACACTAGAGCACACCCTCGCTTTCAACAACACATTGCTCATCTCAACATGCTCTCCCCACTCATCCCCGTACTTGACCAAACCCGGGAACGCACAGAACAGAAATCTGCGATCTACATCCATATCAGCACCATCTTCCACAGCGGTATCAACGTCGTTAACAGCTTCCATCGTGCGGTCATCGAACTGCATACTCGCATCTTGACAGCGGAAGAAGAGCAACTGGTAGCGTGCCTTTTGCAGAGCCAGTGTACGTTGCAGACTCACAGCGTCCTTCAATATCCCGG